AGTGGATGGCACCCTCTCTCTCTGGTTTTGTTTTTTTTTTTTTGGCCGCGCTGTGCAGCATGTAGGATCCAGTTCCCCAAACAAGGATCAAATCCAGCCCCCTGCATCGGAAGCATGAAGTCTTAACCACTGGACCGCCAGGGAAGTCCCCAGGATGGCACCTTCTCTGACATTCCAGATGGCCAACAGGCGTCCCTGCCTCCAGCTGCAGGGCCAGGGCAGCCCTGCATTCTCAGGTCATCAAGGGTCTGAGCCCAGAGACATCTGTTGGCCAATGCTTTTCATCCAGGAACTTTATATCTGCTTTTGTAATCATCCCCACTTTTGAATGGCAACCACCACCATGACGAACCAGGGGCCCAGCACTGGGTGTGGAGAGGGTGTCACAGCGCGGGTGTCACCTGAACATATGAGGTGACATCTTGCTGCCCACTCTGTGGTTAAGCATCACGGCAGGTCAGGGCCACCATGGAGCGTAGGTTGCAAACATGCAGACATGTGGGATATGTCCCCAGGATGGAACGACCAGGTCCCTTCCTAGAAGAAGCCTGCTACCCCAGCTGCTACAAATGCACGCAGCCTTTATGGCCCCTGGGCTAAGACCTGGCCCTCTCTGCCCACCTGGAGAACCTGGGAAGGTATTAGCTCACCAGAGAATCTTCTGTCCATGTTCTCCAGGCAAGAATACTAGAGTGGGTTGCCATTCCCTTCTCCAGGGGATCTTCCTGACCCAGGGATCAAACCCGCATCTCCTGCATTGGCAGGTGGATTCTTTACCACTGAGCCATCAGGGAAGTCGGGTGACCACACAGTGTCATACTTCCAGCACCTCAGTGAGGGTGGGCGCCGGGGGTCGATTTTGGAGAAATGGAAGCAGGAGGGCCCGCCCACCGGAGGGGCATTTGTGGGCGGACAAGTTGACCGGTCCCTAGTGGCCGTCCTTAGCTATGGCATGGCCAGAGCCACAGGAAAACACCAGGACCACAGCCTGTGCCAAGGTTCTGAGCTGCTGGAGGGGCCAAGTGTTGGTCAGACACAAGGATGGGACAGCCGAGCTGTCACCTGAGCACCCGCTGTACCTCTGGCAGACGGTGACTGCTCCCTAGTCCATGGTGAATCACCCTCCAGGTTCATTCCCACCTGGTGCTTCTGGCTGTACAGAGCAGAGGGTCTCTGCCTGCCTTACAACTCCTTCCCACCTGGCCATCTGCTCACAGTATCAACCCACGGGGATCAACCACCACAGGCACCCCCCATCCATCCATCCATCCACACGTAGGCACCCAAACAGATACACCTGCCCGCAATTCATGCCAGGCTGGGGCACCTCCATCCACCTCCTGGGAGATTTATCAGCAGGATCACAGGTTTTTTAAAATCATGGAGAGAGAAAGCAGCTCAGGTTCACTCCAGTAAGTGCATCTTGAATTAAGAAGAGGGGCTGCAGGGCCTGTGTCTGCCTTTTATTTTGCTGTCACGGGGCCAAGAGATGAGTTATGACCACAAAGTCAACACCTGGGGTGACCCATTTATCCTGTATTTATGAACAGGGCTGGCGGATGGTGGTGAGGGTGGTGGATCTACCTCGCACAGGGGCCCTTCCGGAGTTTGCGTGTAAATCTCTGTCCCCAGCAAGGCTGGGACCACACCGCGCCTCCTTGCAGCCCCCCACTGATCAGAGGGAGGGGAGAGCCCCAAGGAGATGGAGGCCTCCTGCCCTGCTTCTTCTCTCTTTCTGCATCCCTGTTCCACCCTGGGAGCCCCAGCTCAAGACAGAGGGCAGAGGGTAAAACCTCACCAGAGAAGCCCCATGACCCGAGCAGCACAGCCACAGCTGACCCAGGACGACTCAGATGAAAAGAGGAAGCAAACATTTCTCCTAGAGCCATAAAGCACTCCAGGGCCCCCGATGCCCTGATCCTGGCCTCTGTTGCAAGTCACACACACATTCTCTGTACCTCCTCCCCAAGCCTTATCACACTCTAGTCCACAGGTCCTGAGGGCTGAGGACAGATTTCAAGAGCAAGTATGAGTTGTCTGGCCTTTCAGCATATTGTTGTCATTGTTTCGTATGTGACCTAAGATTTAAAAATCAGGCAGTTTCATGTAATTCCAGATCTCCAGGTCATCATTATAAAAAAAAAAAAAAAAAAATCAGATCTGGACTTCCCTGGTGGTCCAGTGGTTAAGAATCCTCCTGCCAACGCAGGGAATACGGGCATGATTCCTGGTTCTGGAAGATCCCACATGCTAGGGGGCAACAACTGTGTGCTGTGCATCACAAGTACTGGGCCCAAGCACTTTACAGCCTGTGCTCCGCAACAAGAGAAGCCACCACAATGATAAGTACTCACACTGCAACTAGAGAGTAGCCTCCACTTAGTGCAACTAGAGAAGACCCAAGGGCAGCAATGAAAAACTCATCCCAACCAAGAATTAACAAATAAATACAATTTTTAAAAGATAAATTAGATAAAAGTTTTTAAAAATCAGATCTGACAATACAGGGCCAAGTAGTCAGCTGGAGCTGATGAGGTACAAGCTAGCTAGTTAACCCCAGGCCTCACCGTTCCCTTCTGTCTCCCACGGATTCTCCATCTCCTCATTCATTAAAGACCCTGGAAGCTACTCAGGTACTTAGGCCCTGCTCCTAAGACTCTCTCGTGCCCTAGTGTTGTACCGGCTATTCTCTCTGCCCAAGTCACCCTCACCTCTGTCCTCGTCCTCCAGTGGGGCTGCTCCTCAACCTCATCTTTGAGGCCCCTTACTCAGTGGAGCCTCTCAGGCAGACCACTGGCATGCCGACTTGGAACCACCCCTGTACACATAGTCTAGATGACCGGGCATGGAGCCCCCTGTATCAGCACACAAGCATCCCGTGGACAGATGAGTCAGCAAGCGAGGCATAAACACCACAGAGTGAAAAGCATGGCAGCCAGGACCAGGGGCCTCAGGCACTGACAGCCCCCCACCCCCCAGGACTCCTCTGGAGATACCCCCTCCCTAAGGTGAAACCAACACACAGTCTTTCTTTGCCTCCCTCCATGCAAACGTGGCTTTCAGCACAAGGTGAGGAGAATGGCCGTGTCTCTCCCTATCTGACTCAAAACATTTTCCTCTCCTGAGCACCCAGCCCAGCCACAAGAAAGGGGCTCCTGAGTCCACCCACAAGGTCCCTACAAAAGTAGGGAAGCAGGGGTTCTGGTACACAGGAGATGCTCAAAAAATACCTGACAATGTTTTTCAAATCAATCTAGAGGCCTTACTCCCACCTTTGTTTAGCCACAGTCCACACCATGCCCTACTGCCTCTTATGCCAGCATAGTTAGGCTCTCTGGCTGGCATTTATTTGAGTTCTTGCCTCTCAGTCTAGAAAAGTTCCTAAACACACTTCAATTTCTAACACACAGCAGCTAGGTCTTTAGAAATGACTAGCTCCAAGATAGTACACCTCAGTTTTACGCATCTGTTAAGATGGGCAAGCAGGCTGGCCAATTGTGGCCGTGCTAAACCTAGAAGAAAACCCTATCCTCAAACCAATCGCAGCCACCCTTCAATGACTGGGCCCACAACAACCAATGCTTGGTCTCAGTCATTTTGGCCTGATGTTCAGGATGCAGTAAGGGGTTGTCTATTACCCCCTGCCAACAGACTTGCTTCCCTAATTATATGTGGCTTAGCCAACAGGGGAATGGACTCACAGCCCTGAAGCAGTTTCCAGAAAGCAAGAAAGGAGACAGGGGATGTGTAGACCAACCCCTCAAAGGCTGTGAGCCTTGATCACAAAGTAGCTGCTTCACAGTGGACACTGGAACCCCATGGGAGACGGCTGGACTTGACACCCTCAGGCTCCTGTCCCCGCTGGCCTCGGAAAGGGAAAATGCCAATGATGGGGAGCTCTCACCTACCGGAACCTCTGAGTCCTACTCTTCTGTCCTGCTAATTCTGACCTTTGTCCCTTTCCCTTGTCCGATCTCACAGGCCAGAGGCCCCAGGAAGGATATGCTTCAACTAGTTCCAGTCCAGCATGTAGCAGCAGTGCCCAACGCCTTCTGCAGGGTCCTGCCTACATCCCCCTGCCTGCAGCACAAGTCCACTCGACTATCTCCCCACCTTCCCCTCCCTCCTCCAACCTCAGTACTCCCAGCATCGGCTCAGGGCTGATTCTCATTAGCCCAAAAGTAAGGCTAACCCATCCCTGTCCCTCTGTCTCCCCGATGCCAAACACTCGTGAGCCCCCTTAAAAATGTGTGCCACTGACATATTTACTAAATTTTTTTTAAACGAACAGCCTTTTCCTCTAACTCAGTGGTCAGCAGACTTTTTCTACAAAGGACCAGATGGGGAATATGTCAAGCTCTGCAGCTTGTCATGACTATTCAACTCTGCTGTTGTAACAGAAAAGCTGCCACGGTAATTCCCCAACAGGTGTGTGTGGCCCCGTGTCAATAAAACTTTATTCACAAAACAAGTGGTGGGCCTGACTCACCCAAGAGCCTTAGTTTGCCAAGTCCTGCTCTAACTTAAATCATCCCTCAGTCATATCTAGTGACGTTTGAAATACGGCAATTTCAAGTACTGGCTACTCTTCCTTCAAAAATGCGTTACACTAAATACCAGAAACTATTTAAAATTCTTAAATGTTAAGTTTGTGGACCAGTCCAAGTCATCCTGGAAGCCCAGGCCTTGCTCTGGGAATGTGACCCTATTCACCCCAGAGCCTATGGGTCACCAAGTCAGCTGTTCTAGAATTTTCCAGGCTGCACATGGAAATGGCCATTTCTCCCAGCTCTCTTCTCTATTGTTGGGGTAGGACAAATACCCACAGAGAGGGTCTCCCAGCTGCCACTGAGAGGACCCAAAATGAAGGACCCACTGCTGAGAAACGTGGAAATGTCACCGCAAGCGGCAGTCAGGCCTGCCAGCTGCCAAGCATGCTGGGAGTCAGCCGCAGAGCATGCTGGGAACCCTTCCAGAAGCCCGCCCTGCCCCCTTCTTACCTGGCTTTTGCCTCGACGACGGTAGCTCCGCCTCACCAGGCTCTTATAGTTCTCATTCTTCTTGGTCAGGTAGTAATAGAGGACACACTCAGCCACTGTCTGCAGGATAGAGAGAGAGAAAAGACTTCTGAGGAGTGTGCAGTGTGGGCAGCCGGAGCAGGAAGCCTGGATTCAAATCCCACTTCCTCCACACACTGGCTGGGTGACCCTGGCTAGTTTACTGAACCTCTCTAGGCTTTGGTTTTCTCACCGGTGTTTGGGAGTACTTTACCACATACTTCATAGGTTTGTCATGAAGACTGGGTAAGTTAATATACATACATGTAAAGGACTTAGGACCACAGGGCACGCACTGCAAATGTGTGGCCTCTCCGTATGGTGGGTGCTGCTACTATTAGCAATCACAACGATAAAGCCGTCACCTCCCATCCACTTAAGGAGAACCAGGCTTCCAGCTCCCCAACAGGGGTCTGGAGTCTCCTTTCTCTCATGCCAGTTTCCTACTCCCTGAAGAGTTGACTCATTGGAAAAGACCCTGATGCTGGGAGGGATCAGGGGCAGGAGGAGAAGGGGACGACAGAGGATGACATGGCTGGATGGCATCACCGACTCAATGGGCATGAGTTTGAGTAAACTCTGGGAGTTGGTGATGGACAGGGAAGCCTGGTGTGCTGCGATTCATGGGGTCGCAAAGAGTCGGAAACGACTGAGCGACTGAACTGAACTGAACTGAATACTTGGGGCCCTGAGTAACCTCTTCCAAGCTTCGTGCATCCAGCCTGACTAATGTCCCCATGCGACTCTTCACCTCTTGGGACATGTATGTCTTTTCTCTATCGTGGTCTTTTCCACGTGGACCTGACACTGCCACTTGCTGAGTAAGTGGCTGGTTCTCTCTGAACCCCACCACCTCCTCCTTGTCCAAATGAGACCAGTAAGAGGGCATCATCCACAGAGAGCAACTATAGGACAGCACACGATGATGCCACCACCTGGGCCCACTCCAGGTGACAGCTCACTTATGCCAGCAGCCACTACTGACATGATGTAAAATGTTTCTGTGATGCTTGGAGCTGGTGCCAAGCCAGGAACTGGCCTCTGAGGGGCAATCCATGAGGGCTGCCGGGTACAGAGGCGGGCTGGGCCTCAAATCTCTGTGTCCTCATCCACTTCCTGGGACGGACTGAACAGAGGTGGCTCCCAGGCTAAACCTGACCACACACACGGCCCGCAAAATAGTTCGGAGTAACATGTTATAATCAGATGCTAGTATCTGCAAACTGGGGGATGTGGGTGTCTGACTTCCCCTTGAACAATTCATGAGAGTGCCTTCCTGCGTTGGACAACCAATGAGCTGGCCCTAAGCCTTAGGAGGTCCTAAGCCTTGCCCCTGTAGGTGGGCATGGGCTGGCCAGTCCACTGGGCTCCCACCCTATTATTGGCCTCACTCACCGTCAGGACACACCAATCCCCAGAGGCACAGCAGGCAGCTCCAGCTTAGACCCTTCTGGAAGCTCTATTTGAGTCTCAGCTTGGGCTGCCTCTTAGCCAAAGAACACCATAAAGTTTATTCTCCAGCATAGAGACCTCTGATTTCCTCATTCAAACAGTGCTGCTCAATTACCAATGTCTGAAACCCCTGGTTGAATCTCCGGGGAGCCCCAACCTAGAGTCTCCTGCGTTGTCCACACCCCTAGTAAGAAGCTGTCACTAACTCAGAGAAGACGCTATTTATGGACTTGCTTCTCCACACTGGTTTTTCAGGCCGGGAGAGATTTCGCTTCCCCACGCTGCCCCATCTCCCTCCTTCTATGGATATCAGTTCATTAAGGGCAGATGCTGGGAAAAACTGTTACCCTTTAAAACACACGCCTGGATCCTACTCCAACTGCCCTCACAAAATTAGGAAGCATGAGGCCTCCACTAGCAGTGTATTTGCAAAGTTAGGGGTGGGCAGACACCCCCACATTGAGAAACAAGATTCGGGGAAACACTGCTTTAAACACCCAGACAAGCAGCTCCAGAAAGTAAACCTTTTCAGGAAGCTTGTCTAGCTCCGCCCCGATGATGCTAGGGTCCAATGGCAGACTCTGACCTAGGACCACGTCCAGCCCAGCCTCGTGGGTGCACAAAAGGGGGCGTTACCATTCCCTAGGACGTTCTGTGTCCACCTGCCAATAGGGAGCTGGAGCAGAGAAGGGCACCGCCCCTGTGGAGCTCGAGTGTCAGTTCTCCATCAAGTTTTATCCAAAGGGGATGAGGACTTTGCCAGCCACATGCCTGGCTTGGCATAAGGTGTGTCAGCATAGAGCGACCATCAGAGGGACCTAGAAAGGTCATTCCATCCAGCGCCCTGGAAGACCAGCACTCTTCCCCATAAAGCCTTAATTAGGATGCCAGGCACAGCACAGCTTCTAGAACCCAGGTCCAATCTGCCAGGATGCTCACTGCCACGTCGGAGGAGGAGCTGGTGCACACAGCTCTCCTGGGGTTTCCCAGCCTGGAGCTCCGCCCCCGAGGGCTCGGGAGGCTGGGGCGGGGCCTGTGGCTGCTCCCAGGAGGGAGGCAGGAGGGAAGCGCTGTCAGACACAGCAAGGAGAGCAAGGGGCCGGCAGGCAGAGGCCTCGTGGGTGGGGAGGGAGGGTCCTTCACCAGCAGCCCTAGCAGCTACCCGCAGAAGTGGACGCCAGAGGGGAACGGGGAGGGGCGGGCGGCGCTGCACTCCTGGGCAGACTCACCTTTCTCTCCAGGAATGATGCGATCAGGCCGAAGTTCTTGGGGTGCTGCATGAATCTGCGGGGAGAGAAGGGCGGGCCTGAGACCAGGCCGAGGGGGGCTGCCCGGCTGGGCGGCCGCCGAGCTCCCGGGCGCCTGCCATCTCCGCGGGCCCGGCTGGACGGGCGCCGCCCCACTCGGAGCAATTAAGCCCAGGGGGGTGTGGGAAGGGCCGCGGCGGGCGGGACCGAGGGGTAAGAGAGGGCGTTCCTTGGAGTGAGTCACTGGTTTTAGCGCCTTTGAAAATACATTTGTTTGTCCTGCTAGAGGCGGGTTCCAGGAAAAATGAGGACATTACATGCAGCCCTGTGGTGGGGTTCCCCCCCTTTTAAAAATCTGCTTTTGTTTCTATCTCCGGCTGGGCCTGGGAAGCTGGGCCTCGCCCGGCCCCCACGGGGCCCCCACGGGCGAGGTCACGGCACAGAATCTCGAGGCTGTCGGGCCTCCCCGGGAGAGATGGGAGCAGAGAGGCTCCGAGTGCCCACGGGGAGGCGGGCAGGAGGCAAGCCAGCCCAGGAGGCGGCAAGAAGGACCGAAGTTGGAGGGGTGGCGGGGGAACTGGCGCCCCACCAACTGGCTTCCTGCGAAGCCGAGAGAATTACTGGGAAAGAGCTGGGCCAGGCTGAAATGTCAGGGCCACAGGAGCAGGCGGACGGCGGGGGTGGAGATGTGGGTCACGGCTGCTGGGGCCCCGGGGATGCTGGGTGGGGCCTTGGCCGGCCCACCCCCACACCCCCATCCCCAAGACGCACCACCGCCCCGCGGCCTCCCTGGGGAGGGAAGAGGCTGCTGGGGAGGCAGGGGCCCCGGGTTCCCCACCCCCACCCCCAGGGAGTCCGGGCCAGGGCTGGCGATCATCCTGCCCAGCCCTCCAGATGGTTGGGCTGGAGGCCAGCCGGCCCCTCCCCGGCTCCCCAACCAGACACTGGAGAATCCGGAACAGCCTCTTCTGTCTTCCCAGAGGAAGCCGCGAGCCAGGCAGCTTTCCCGGCCTGCAAGCCCGCCTCAGGCAGCTTGCAAAGCTGGAGGCGGCCTAACGCCCTGATTTTCCAGACAGACAGAATCTTCCCTTTCTCTCCCTGCCCCTGTGACACTTCCTTCCCCCACCCCCCTAAAAAATATCCATTCCTCAGGGTTTCCCCAAGCCGAGATGGGGCCCCCAGGAGACCAAGAAGCAAACTCAGAGGATTCCCTTAGGTCAACTGTTCCACCTCCCTCCAACCTACTCCTGTATCCTCTGCGATGTTTACAGAGAATTAACTCCAACACTGGGCAAGTCGACGGCCACACAAGGAGGCACTGAGGCTACACCCATTTTACAGATGTGGAAACTGAGGCTCAGGGAGGAGAAGTGGCTGTTCGAAATCACGAGGCCACTAAGTGAGCTCTACGCCACCAACACATGATTGTCAGCGATTTTCAAAGGGCCTGAGCGCTATAACTTCCACTGAAAAGGAGAGATCACCCGGGACCCTGAAAGACACAAGCTGCCAAACTGGGTCTCAGCACACATCAGCCCAGCCTGGGTTCCCCCATTCTTCAACTACTGTACTAACGGTATGCAATCATTAGGTCAGAACAGGAAAGCTCCAAAAGGCCAAATCACAGAAAGCACCCCCAGAAACCTCTTTAAAAAAAAAAAAAGCATAAATAAAAATAGGAAACATATTAGGGGGATTTAAATACCTAATGCAACAGTAATTCTTGGAATCCATGACCATACTATGGCTGGTTCTTAGAGTGTAAAACGCCTAACACGGAGGACTTGATTCAATGGCAGAGCAAGCACATTTGTGAGCGTGAGGACACCAAGGAGCCACTAAGTACCTGGGTTTCCTATCTCTGAGCAGCAGTCCCCAAACACATGCGGAAATTGCTCCCAAAGCCCTCTTTCCTGTGGAAGACTGCTGAATCTGTGTCAGATGCTCAAGGGGGCATTCTATCATCCATTTTTATATATGTTTCAGAATTTCCATAATCAAAAGCCATTAAAAACAAAACAAAACAAAAAACCCACAACACTTTCCATACAAGAGCCTCTTCAGTCGCTTCTCCTGCATTTCCAAGTCCTGGTGACTGCACTGGCTGACGCACCCTAGCCTTGCCCGTGACCCAGAAGCATCCCCATCTCGGGAGCCCAGTTTGGCATTTTGGGGCCACTCGACCCTACAAAGGGCAGAGACAGCTCCAGCCCCTATGGCCTGGAATCGCAGCGGGTGGCTGGAGAAGTTAATGTCCCACGTGGGTCATCTCTTTTGAGGAAACTCTCCTGGCAATGAAAGAGGTGGTGGGCGTGGACGTCCAGCAGCTAAGCCCCCAACGCCCTCCTGGTTGAGTGCTAAGGTCTCCACCTGTCCCTGTTTCCCACCCTTTTGCTTCACAGGGGTCCTCAGTCCTGTGAAGGTGCAATGTGCTCAGGATGGGGTTCCCTGGGACACACCTTTTCAATCTGGTGGGGGAAAGGAGGGCTTTCTCCATCTGGCCCTTCACTCATCTCCCCAAAACAGTCATTCTGCTCTTCCATTTTAGAAGCCCCAGCTTCACCTCTGAGCATCCAGATTCTGCCTCTGCTTCCCAAAGCACTCCCTACTCCCTGATTCTGTCTTCCCTCACAAGACAAGCCTCTCAGTTGCAGCTGAGCCCCTGACCTGAAGCTGGGGGATTCTGAATCCTGCCTCCACCCTTTGCAAGCTGTGTGACCTTTGTTAAGTGTCTTAACTTCTCTGAGCCTCTGTTTCCTCATCTGTGTAACAGGGATGGGTAATGCTGTTATGGGGGATAAGCGGGACAAATGCACAAACTCCAGAAGAGATCTGTCTAGCGTCTGTGATGAAGGAGGTGCTCAACCAATAGTCACTTTCCAAATAAAATGAAAACAAAAGTTACCGGCCAGCCACATACCCCTGCCCAAGCCTTCAGCCCAGCCTCGAAGGTCCTCCTGCCTTGTTCTTCTAATACATACTGACTCATTTCACATAAAGCTTCCCTGACACTCTGTACTGGTCTGAATAGTGTCCCCCCAAATATCTTGTCCTCCCAGAACCTCAGAATGTGGCCTTATTTGGCGATGAGATCTTTGTGGATATAATTAGTTAAGATGAGGTCATGCTAGAGTAGGGTGGGCCCTGAATCCAATGTGACTGGTGAATTTATAGGAAAAGGGGAAGACACAGAGAGAGACACATGGGAAACAAGACCACAGCTGAAGACAGCTGAGATGGAGAGATCCATCTGCAAGCCCAGGGGTGACAAAGATCTGCAGCCTCCACTGGGAACCAGGCTGGAAGGGACCCTCCCTCGGAGCCTCTAGAAGGAACCACCCTGCCCACACCTTGATCTTAGACTGCTGGCCTCCAGAACTGTAGAATACATTCCAGCTGCTGTGGGCCACACAGTTGGTGGACACTTGTCATCACAGCCCTGGGAAGCCAGGGCAAACCTCAACAGGACAGGCTTCCCAGGATAGGGGAGGGTGGCCTTGGCCAGGCTCCCCCGGCCCCACCGACGGGGGACTCACTTCTCCCGGAAGGTCTCCTTCTCCTGCTCGCTCCACATGTTCATGACCTGGCGGTCTTTGTACACCTTCATGGGATCATCCATGAGCCCATTCATGTTGATGAACTTGATCCGCTGCTGGTCAGCATCGTATAGCATGGGTGGGATCACAGCCAGCTGACGCATCTGCTTCTCCAGGTTCTGGAAGGAAAATGGAGATGACAGAGGGCACCCCCCTGGTCAGAAAATGCAAGAAGACAAGGAGCTGGGGGCCGGGCGGGGGAAGGGACAGGGTGCTCCCGCCTGCACAGGGGAACCCAAGTGAGTGAGCAGAGGGTAGGGATACTCCAAGTCAGAATGGGAAAACACAAAACCAGAGAGAAAGCGCATGATGGGTTAAAAAAATACAACAGGCCCATGCAAGGGGAAGGGAGAATTTAAAGGCAGCCCCAGACAGGTTTATGGTGGGCAGGGCTGTAAATTCAACACAGAAAGCAGCAGTCACCTTATCTGCAGTAAGAGGGGAGTGATGAATCTTCCCTTTAGAAATGCAAGTGCCATAAAACACTGCAGGGAAGATGTGCAACCTGGCTGGCTGGGGGGAGGGGGGGCCCGCACGCACTGCTCCCCACTCCCACCCCAGGTTCAGAGGGCATTCAGGGTGGGGCAAGGGGCTGTCTTGCTCTGGGAGGGCCCAGAGAGGCTGCAGAACCATTTCCCCACCAGCCGGCCACCTCCAGCCCCAGATCCCGCTCCTTCAAGCATGCCCACTGGGGACCAAGCCTGCCCAGCCCTGTGCGCAGCAGGAGTCGGGCGGGCTCGCTCCTAATGCATCGGGGCAGCTATTAAGAGGCTCAGAGCCGCCACTCAGCTGGACTCATTTCCCCAAATCTCTGCAGCCAACCCATTACTGGCGATTAATTACCCATCTCCGGAGGCAGGCGAGGGCCCCGGCCCAGCCAAGGTCAGCCGGTTCAAAGGATCCGCTGCCCAGCCTCCCACAGCTCAGCGCTCCACTGAGTGCTGGGGATTCCCAACAGGAGCAGGGGAGCGCAGCAGAGGCACAGCCCCGACCTTGGCTGAGAGGAGGACTCCCAGGGAGGCCCGAGCCTCCCCGGCACTTGAGCAGCCCTCCAATACCATCACCTTCCCGTCGCCCTCACCTGCACGAGACACACAGTCCTGGCAGATGCAGGCCGGGTACCTCCTGGCAGGAACCCCCGCCCTACTCCATGGTCCCATCCACAGTGGGCTCACATGCCGACTACTGCAAGCTCCCCCCAAATCGCGAGCGTCTCTCTTCCTACCCAGTTCCCGCCTTCCCACCCTCCCAGGGAACCTCAGGTCGGCCTGGACTGGGTGTACAGTTGCTGCCCTGAATTCTCTTTCCAACCATCACCCCTAAACGCTGTCCCATCAAACTCCCCAAGGACCCTGGTGGCTGCATTCTCATGTGGCCAGGAGCTGGGGAAGTGGTCCTCTGGGATGGGAGTGGTGCTGGACACTGAATCAGCTGAGATGCCATGCACTCTGCATCAAGCAGGGAGCCTGTAAGAAAGGGTCACCCTCTTCCTGCTTCCACGTGCCAGTGTGGGCTGTGTACTTGACCACCATCGGTGGGACAGAAGCCAGAGCAAACCCACAGGTGTGGACAAAGGCGTTCCGAGTTCTGCTTTCTGCAGACTGGAGGGTGTTCAAAACAGGGCCACATCATGTGAGGTTTTAAGACAAAGGCTTGGACTTCGGCTTCCCTAGTAGCTCAGATGGTAAAGAATCTGCCTGCAATGCAGGAGACCCAGGTTCGATCCCTGGGTCGGGAAGATCCCCTGAAGGAGGGCATGGCAACCCACTCCAGAATTCTTGCCTGGAGAATCTCTTGGACAGAGGAGCCTGGCAGGCTACAGTCCATGGGGTCCCAAAGAGTCAGACATGACTGAGCAACTGACACTTTGACTTTCACACTTTTCCCTGGTGGTCCAGTGGTTAAGACTCCTCCTTCCAATGCAGGGGGCACAGGTTCAATCCCTGGTTGGGGATCTAAGATCTCACATGTGGCCAGGTGCGGACAAGAAAAAAAATTATTAATTAAAATTTATAAAAATAAAATGAAGGCTCTTTTTTTTAATAGCCAGGTGGTCTGAACTATCTGCGTCAGACTTGCAAGAACAGCCTGGTGAAAATGCAGATTTCTGAGTTCTGCCACCCCAGACTGGCCAAATCAGAACCGCTGGGGGTGGGGGACCTGGGAAATCACAATTCAAGCTGGACGTCCCCTCCCCAGGACTCTTAAGTCTGTCCCATATGAGACTCAGTGGCTGAGGGCAGCACCTCCCAATAGAATGTTCTGCAGCGACGCAGAACGTGTTTACGGCCTGCTCTCTGCAGCACAGGGACCACGAACCACATGTGGCTTCTGAGCACTTACAATGCGACTGGTGACACCGGAGGCACTGAGTTTTTAATTTTATTTCGTTTCTGGCCATTTCCATTTAAATAGCCACATGCAGCTCGTGAGCGGTGACTGCACGGATCTGGAGCTGTAATACCTCCCAGCTGGACAAAAGCTCTCCCTGGACACAAGGCCCGGGGGAGGAAGAATGTGTTCCCCTCCTTCTGCGAGGCCCCCTCCTTTCCACTGTGATGTTAGGAACATGGAAGGGGGGGGGGATGGGGAACTGACACATGAGATGCTTTTAAGACCTGGGAGGGGACAGGCCTGCACCAGCCCTGCCCCAGGAACAAACGCCTCTTCTCTCTGCTCCCTGGCCACCTCTGGGCTCCAATGACCAGAGCCAGGGTCACCTGGCTGATAGAAGGTCACCTGGGAACTCTTGACAGAAGGTCCCCGGCTTGGTGAACAGCTGGTGAGCTGGGAAACCCCCCTCTGACCCTGGTTCTGAACAACTGGGAGGCTGACCTACAAACTACCACCCTCAGGCTCCTGTGCCCTCCGGCTTCTGGTCAGGTCCAGCCAATGGGAAGCACTCAAAGCAGAGAGGGGGTTGGAGTGAGAGGTCAGGCTACTTACTCCACCATGGCGTCATGACGGGGCCCTGGCTGTGACCCTTACTGGCCACGTCCTACCAGGTGGCCCCTCCTCCACAGCCCCAGGAAGACCCCTCTCCCGCTCGGCCTGCAGGCCTGGGGACAGCCAATGGCTGCTCCCCTGGGGCCTCCCCATCCCACCTCGGTTCCGCCCACATTCAGTAACAAGCCCCTTGGATCTCAACCATCCAGGTGAATTCTGTTTCCTGCTGGACCCTCTCCCACAGCGGGTGGGGCTGAGGTCGGGGTCAGGGACTTACCTCCTGCTCCGACAGGCCATCGATGATCTCGGACACCTCGTGCTCACTGCGGGCGGCTGACATGGAAAGCCCGCTGCCCCGCTGCCCCACCCTGCTGGAGATCGAAGGCACACACTCAGGACCGGCCCCTCGCAGCCAGCGCAGTGGCACAGCCCTGAGCCCACAACTTCCCCAGAGGCGGCGTGTGGGCAGCGGGGAGGAGCCAGGCCTCCCACACCCACACAGATGGCCCCAAGCCGAGGGGTCTGGGGGAGGGATGGAGCACCCCAACTCTCACCCAGAAAAGGCCAGAACCCTTTATCTCTCCTAAGATGCCCCCCGACAAAAGACCAGCTACACAGATCCACGTATAAAGTCCAGCCCTGCCTCTTCGCAGCCTCTCCCTCCATGTTCTCCCATGTAACCTGGGGATAAGGTGGTGCCCAGCTCCCGGGACTGGGAGCAGGCATTCAGTGAGATACGGGCTGTGAGCATCCAGTAAAGAGTGAGATCCAGAGACTTCCCTGGCGGTCCAGTGGTTAAGACGCTGAGCTTCCACTGTTGGGGGGACATGGGTTCAATCCCTGGTCAGGGAACTAAGATTCCACATGACATGCGATGTGGCCAAAAATTAAAAAAAAAAAGAACTATGGCAAATAATTAAGGGCTCTAATGGAAAAAGGAGACAACATGCAGGAATAACTTAAAACTAAGAATCACACAATAATAAATTTTCATGTATTTGTTTTTAAATAAAAGAGAGTGAAGTCCATCATCCCTTCTCACAGCCCATTGCCTTATCTGTGTGACAACAGGAACTGCATTCACATGCCACCAAGCACCTATTGTGTGCTGGGCACTCTGACACAGGATTGCACCCAGCCCTCAGGGCCGCAACGCGTGACCAGCATCCTTTCCCTTTGACCTACACCAGGGATCTCACACTCGGGGGCCACATAAATGAACAAAGCTGGGGTGGGTACCTGCCCATGGCACACCAGAAGGAGAGCTCACTCCATCAAAATGGATTTAAGTTTCTTTCCAAGAAGTGTTAAGCCAGGCAGGTGCTAAGTGACACACCCAAGGACTTAACTCGGCCCTTGGGGTGCAATTCTAGACCCTGCTGTGCTTTCCTTTTGCATGCCAGCCAGGGGTCCTCTGTGGACAGTGCCACAGGCAGACCCAGGTCCTGGGAGGCAGGGAAGGAGGTGGTGGCAGGGCGGTGTGGAGAGAAGGAGGGTGAGAGGTGTGAGTGGGCCCGGTCCTCAGCTCACCTCTGCATGCGCTCCTGCAGCTCCCGCTGCTTGCGGATCTCGGGGAACTGCTTCTCGTAGTACTCGCGCACCTTGCTCTCCTTGGCCCGCCGCCGGGGGTTATTCTCGATGCGCTCCACCTTCTTCTCCCAGGCTTCCATGAGCTGGTCATAGCGCTGGCAGAACTTCTGTTCCTGGGGAGACGCGGGGGAGCCGTGTGGCAGCTGCTCCTTCTGCATTCGACATTCGGCACCCCCAGGCTCCCCCACTCTGCCGTGCGCACGGGCAGGTATGCGATCACACACAGGTGCACAGGCAGACACACAGATCACGCGGAGACCGGGGCAGACCCAGGCCAGAAAACCCACGGCCTGCCCTAAGGATCCAGCTGCCTTGCTCCTTGGGGTGTGGGGCACCCCCACTCTCATCCTTCCTCTAGAAAGGCCTTGTACTATACCGAAGCTTCCAGTCACATGTGGCCATTAGAGCTGAATCATGTAAAACTAAGTTGTATTTAAATTCAGGTCCCTGGTCTGCCTGCCACTGGAGCCAGGGCTACTGTCTGCAGTGGACAGTGCACACAGGCCATTTCCATCATTGTAAGTTGGGTCAGACGGTGCAGCTCTGGGGTGCCTGTCAGACCTGGGGCAGCCCCATGGAAAGCATTCTCTTTCTGAATAATTCCTCACCCCCCAGCCTCAGGCCCAGCCATGCTCCCCAGATCCAAGGACTGGGTGTAAAGACTCAAGCTGCCGTCCATCCACGACAAGGAAGTCCCTCTCTAAGTCTAACCACAGTGCTTCCTGCTGTATGCATGTCCCTCCTTAGAGAAAAGACCCCTGCCCGGCCCAGAATGTAAGCTGCCGAGTCTCCAAGGTGACCCAGACCTCGAGCAGGCAGGGAGCGTCCGGCTGCTCTTGAGACCCGATCTCCCCATCTCTAACAGCTGCCGTGGACAGATGGCACGGTCTGGGAGTCTCGCTTGAATGCCTTCTCGACACTTCAGCATAATCAGAGAGCCCGTCTCTGGTCTTCGTGCCCAGACATCCCATCCCATCCTGAATTTCAGCTTCTGACCAAGGCAGTCTGTGACCTTGGTCCTCAACAAACCCGGCAGCGTTGACGGTCCCCAGGGGGCTGTCAGGCCATCTATGAGGAGGAACAGAACTTGACCCCCAGCTACCTGGGGCGCCACACATACCGGACTGCCCCAAGAACCCTTGGGAGGTCACGTTCTAGTAGCACGCAACGGCCACACGTGTTCATGGCAACGTGCTGCAGGCAGCACTCCTGAGGTGGGAATCAACATGAAGGACACCCATCTTCAGAGCAGGGGACCCTCCCCACCCTCTCAGTGTGAGTGTGTGACCTGTATCCTCCCCCGGCCAGCAGGGCCACCCAGGTGGAAATCCTGGCAGGGTCATTGCTGCCCCAGGAGGGGCTGTGGCCACTGCCACAGGCTGTCCTACAGTGCCCAGGAGGCCTTGGTCTGATGGGTGAGAGCAGGAAAATGTCAGATGAGGAAAAGGTGAGAACATGCTCACCCAAAAACCAGCAGAGAGAAGGAATACAGTTACCAGGGAAGACAAGCAAGAAACCCGCGGGGGCCACCAACCAGCTGCCCGGTGGAGGGGCGGCCAGCAAGATGACCCAGCCCTGCCTGGCACCCTTGCAGAGCAAAAGGGACAGGAATGGCCGTGAGGGGTCATCCAATCACACTGCCCAGCCCCAATCACCACACACAAAGACACAGCAGCTCCTGAGGACTATTCAACATGAGGAAGTCCCCCTCCATACCTGACCACAGTGCCACCTGCTGTCACCTGGGTGTTAGGCGTCCTCTCTGTCCACGGAGGGCCAAGGGCACCGCAGGACAGCCCGTGGCAGTGGCCGCAGACCCTCCTGGGGCAGCAATGACCCTGCCAGGAGATTCCACCTGGGTGGCCCTGCTGGCCAGGGGAGGATACGGATCACACACTGACAGACACACACACACACACATTGATGCACATACATTCACATACATCCCCACTCATATACACAAGCGCACACACACACACACTTTCTTATACACACACACTCATAGTGACAAATACATCACCCATATTCTCACTCACAATACAAACCACACACACTCACTCATAAACTCACACACCCACTCTCAAGCACACATGTACTCACACACTGTCTCACACATTTCAGAGGCTGGAGCACCGCTAAGCTAGCCTGCAGGTGCCAGGGGCAAGAATATGCACAGGAAAAGGACAGCCCCTGTGACTACAGTTTGTCACCCTCAGTGAAGATTCTTTGTACCAGCACCATCACCATCATCATCTTCTTCACCATCCTGTCGTCATCATCATAAACAGCATCATCACCATCACACCATCGGCATCACCACTGACACTGGCCTAGGAACCACTGCGTCATGGGCCAGGCACAGAGCTGAGTCCTTCCTGTGACTGACTCTCCCAAACCCCCCAAAAGCGGTGACTGCCATCCCCTCTGCACAGGTGGGAGTTCAGAGCTTGGGGGCCATCAGGCCTGGATCACACAGTCCAGACAGGAGGTCAGGATCCTGACAGTTCTTCTGAGAACGTCCAGTGTGTTTACTTTTCCTTTCACTGCTCATGCTTCTGGTGGTCACACCCAAGAGCCACTGCCAAATCCAAGGTCATAAAGATTCCCCACCAGGGGTTTTCTTAATTGTATGGCTTTAGAGGTTTTTGGTTTTTTAAGATTTATTTTATTTATTCTTGGCTGCGTTGGGTCTTCGTTGCTACATGAGGGCTTTCTCTAGTTGCAACAAGCAGGGGCTGCTCTCTAGTGGCGATGCACAGGCTTCTCACTGCAGTGACTTCCTCTGTTGCGGAGCATGGGTTCTAGGAGCAAGGGCTTCAGTAGCTGTGGCACAGGGGCTTAGCTGCTCCGAGGCATGTGGGATCTTCCTGAACCAGGGATTGAACCTGTGTCCCCTGCAACGGCAGCTGCATTCTTAACCACTGGACCACCAGGGAAGCCCTGGCTTTCGCTCTCGCATTTGGGTCTCTAACTCATTTCGGGTGAGTGTTTGTGTTAATTCTGTGAGGTGGAGTCCAGCTCCATTCCTGATGTGTGACTGTCCTGTTGTCCCAGCACCATTTGTTGAAGAGACGGTCCTAACTCATTGATTGGACTTGGCCTCCCGTCAAAAATCCACCGGCCACAGATGTGAGGGCTTAATTCGAGACTCTCTATTCTGTTCCACTGTCCTTCGTGTCTGTCCTTAGGCTAGATCACACTGTGCTGATTACTGCAGTTTTGCAGAGTTTTTTTAATTTATTTTTTAATTTTGGCTGTGCTAGGTCTTCGTTGCTACCTGCGGCCTTCCTCCAGTTGTGGCGAGCAGTGACTTCTCTTGTTGTGGAGCATGGGCTGTGGGTGCTCAGGATCAATAGTTATGGCTCGAGGGCTCTAAAGCGTGGGCTCAGTAGCTGTGGCGCACGGGCTTAGCTGCCCCATGGCATGTGGGATCTTCCCAGAGCGGGGATCGAACCTATGTCCCTTGTGTTGGAAAGTGACTTCTTAACCACTGGACTGCCAGGGAAGTCCTGCGATATGTTTTCAAATGAGGAATTGAGTCTTCCAACTTGGTCGTTCTTTCTCAAGACTGTTTCGGCTATTCGGGGTCCCTTTGAATTTGAGGGTCGGCTTGCAGCTGACAGTTCCGAGCACCCACAGTAGTCCGGGCGTCGCCCCAAGCATGATGCTTGCAGCCTCTCGCTCAGTAGCCTGATGACGTGGGTGTTCCTACAGTCCCCACTGAATGTAACAGAGAGCTGAGGCCAGGAGTTCAATGATTTGCCCTGGTCACCAAACAGGGCCAGGATTTGAACCTCTCCTGCCCTGCCAGGTGTGACAGGATGCAGCTCGACAATTAGGGAGGAAATAAGAGAAGGGGTGCCCAGGAGGAACCTCCTAAACTGAGGAAGACAGTCTCAAGCCAACAGAGGGAGGTGATAGGGAGCTGACTGGAGCCGGCTGGCCAGGGAAGCTGATCTCTGTGGTCACCGAGTGACCTGGCATCCTCCAGACCCCCAGGGAGCCTGCAGCCTCATGTAAAGGCTTTCTCCCACTGGGCTCAGTGGCTCAGGTGCCACGGAGTCGCAGAAATGTTCCCCCACTGGCTGTCCTGCGTGTTCAGCGATGGGTGAAGGGGACAGGCTGGGGCTCTCCCAGCATGTGTCCTGCGGCCCATCACTCAGGCTGCAGAAGCAGATGCTGGGCCAAGTCAGGACAAAGCCAGATGTGAAGCATAAGGACATCAAAGGTGCAGGGGATACAGAGTATGCATCCTTTAGCCATCTCTTAAAAAAAGAACTGATGCTTTCAAACTGTGGTGCTGGAGAAGACTCTTGGGAGTCCCTTGGACTGCATGATCAAACCAGGTCATCCTAAAGGAAATCAACCCTGAATATTCATTGGAAGGACCAATGCTGAAGCTCCAATACTTTGGCCACCGGATGCAAAGAGCCGATTCATTGGAAAAGACCCTGATACTGGGAAAGATGGAGGGCAGGAGGAGAAGAGGACGACAGAGGATGAGATGGTTGGATGGCATCACCGACTCCATAGACTTGAGTTTGAACAAGCTCTGGGAGATGGTGAAGGACAAGGAAGCCTGGCTTACTGCAGTCCATGGGATTGCAAAGAGTTGGACACAAATGAAGGACTAACACACACACTAGATCCCAGGACAGATGTCCTTGTAAGAGAGGAGAGGGGAAAGGGGAGGTGAGGATGGAGCCCAAGATGGGAGTCCTGGGGCCACAGCCAAGAAATGTCTGGAGCACCAGGAGCTGGAAGAGGCAGGAAGGAGCTTCCCCTAGGGCCTCTAAAGGGAGCACAGCCAGTCCACATCTTTATCTTGAACTTCTGGCCTCCAGCAGAGAGAGAGAGTACATGTCTGTTGTTCTCAGGCACCTAGTCTGTGGCCATTTGTTACCGCCGCCTCAGGAAGTGAATACACCCACCGTCCAGGCTGGGCTCACCGCTGACTAACCCATCCTGCAGGGCCACCGTCAATCACACCCACTCTCCCCACCAGGCACTGCGCTTCCTGCAGCGCCACCATGACCCCATTTCACAGATGGGGAAAAGCAAGGCTTGGGGCCAGACAGCTCTCCCAGGACCACTCACAGCAGGTATGGTGGATGGGGTTTGAACCTGTGCATCAGTGACTCAGCCTTACACCCCCCTCCCCCAACACACACACACACACACACACACACACAATCTGGCTTCCAGGGTCGTGGGGTAAGCTCAGGGAAGGATATGGCAGGCCCGGTGGGGGTTCCTGTTGGGGTTGGGCACCCCTCCGGGAAAAGAGCCTCAGCTCTCTGGGCAGAGCAGGCATGCAGGGCAGCCTGGGCTGCTAGGTCACAGTCCCAGAAACCTCTGAAAAATGAGAGCTCCTCCGGAAGAGAACTGACTCAGGTGGAGGCGGGAAACACACAGATCTGAAGGGGCACGTCCTGACCAAGCCCCCTCTAGGCCCCGCCTGACAACAGTGCACAGGACTTGGGGCTCGTTATATAAGAACTAGAGCAAGACCATTCCTGATGCCCTCCTGTCATAGTTTCTGTGGTTTCCGAATTCGTTTTCACAAGAGCCTCTCTTAAGACGGGCTCAGCTTGGCCACAAAGCCACCCAGAGTTTCTTAGAAGTCTCCAGTTCCTCTTCCTCTATCTTTAAATAAGCCCATTTCCCCTCCATCCCCTCAAAGGACCTCCAAGGAGCCCTGGGAGATTTCTTGAGAACTTACGTCCACTCAGCCCCACCCTCAGCAGTCACCAGGATCCTTTTAAAATGTAGATCAGATGTCCTTTCTCCCCAGCTAAAGGACCTCCCTAACCATGCCCTTCACTCCCAGGCAGGACCACTCGGGAAAAGCTGTACATCCTTAGGTGTGCTCCTGAATTTCCTTCATCCAAGAGAGAGACATGGAAGCATGACAGGTAAGAGTCTGGGCATCCACACTTACTTTCTAAGAGTTCAACACAAAAACATTCATACACACAGACACACAGACACACAAAGTGAATGCAAAGAAGAAATGCTGTGCGCACACATTAAGTCACTTTGGTTGTGTCTGACTCATTGCAACCCCATCGACTGTAGCCCGCCAGACTCCTCTGTCCATGGGATTCTCCTGGCAGGAATACTGGAGTGGGTAGCCATGCCCTCCTCCAGGGGATCTTCCCGACCTAGGAATCAAACCAGCATCTCTTCCGTCTCCTGCATTGGCAGGTGGGTTCTTTACCACTAAGGTAGCTTTACCAAAGAAGGTGGCTTCTTTGGGAAGCCCAAAGAAATGTTAACCATGAGGAATTCTAGATGGTGGGCATGTAGGTGTTCACCGTATTCTGTCAAGCTGCCTACATGACTGTCAAGTTTTCTGAATTGCTAAAAATCCTTACATTAAAGATTTTGTATTCTTTATTAAGAATAAATTGTCTCACTGTATTTGGAATAAAATCCAAATGCTCCATCCTAGTACAGAATGGTTTTCCCCCAGTCTCCTCCTTCATGCTCTGTAGTTCAACTTGCCTGTTGCATTCTGTCCCATGTTACCCCATCCTGGTTCCTACCTCAGGGCCTTTGCCCTTGCTGTGCCCTCTTCTTGACACTCAGACCCCCAGATATTCACACAGGTCATCCTTTCTGGTCATTCCTCTCTCAGTTCTGAGGTGGGACATCCAGGCTGTATCCCACCCCACTTCTCTGCACGGCACTTGTCCCTCTGTCTCCTCCACTCAGCATAACACAGCTCAGCACTGCACCAGGCCCACAGCAGGTGTTCAGTAAATATTTCTTAATTCAATGAATAACATGGGATGCCATGTTTCATGAATTCCATCCAACCAGCTGGGTGCTTCTGGTCACCATCCAGTCACTTTAGGAGTCTGAGAAGGTCAAGAAAGGGAAGATTGGGAAGTCCACCACTTCTCACCCCATGGGTCCCCAGAGTCCAAAGGTGTTGCCCCCCGCCCCGCCCAGCCTCTCAGTCCTTCAGCATCTGAGACAGAAGCATCTCCCTTCTCGAAGGTCCAGCTGACATCTAGGGCCAGAGCAGGGTGGGTTAGGAACTGTTTCAAAGGGTCCAGGGCCCTCAAGTGGTACCATCCGAGCTTTTGTGAGATGGCCTAAAAAAAGAGTAGTTCTCTCTTTCTGGCCTCCAAGCCTACTACAGAAATTCAGGCCCCAAAGGAAAATCAGTTTGTCAATGTGCTAACACAGAGCTGGGGAAAAAAAACAACAACCAAGAAACTGTATAGACTTCAGGTACATCAGATCAGGTACAACCTGATCAAACCACCCCTGGACTCCACTCAGTAGACTTTGACAGCTACAGAAATTCCTTGACTGGTTAAGCCCATCCGAGCCAGCTTTTCTTCCTCTCACAGCTGAATACTAATGGGTAACACTCCCTCCACCCCTCAGCCCTAACCTCCCCCAGCAAACCAGTGATGTAATCGAGCACCCTAAACCACAACTAAAGCTGTTCTCTGGTGTATGCTGTCCCTGCTTTGGGGCTGCCTCCCAGCTGAGACTGGAGTGTGCATGCAGCGGAATGCAGGAGTCGTACCACTGTCTAAGCAAGGAGGCCTCATTGCCTCTCTGGGTCCTGATTTTCCTGAGCCCAGAATGAGCACAGTGGGCTGGGAAAGGCTCATTTCTCAGGGAATCCCCTACAATCACCGCCACCCAGCACATAGCCCACCCCCGTCCTCCACCTCTGCCAACAGACCTCTCTCTGCCCAAAATATCCACAGTGGGTCCTCTGACAAGGGACCAGTTTTCCCAGCTAATGTTATGCTTTCTCCTCTTCCAGGTTGGAAAAGGAGGGGCAGTGTCCCCAGCACCCCGTCTCGCCCACACCCCTGCCTCCTTGAGGCAGCTGAGCCCCGAGCCCCCGGCTTCACTAAAGCAGCTGCTGTCTTTTCCCGTTTCTCTTGCTGTCCTTGGCTTTTCTTCATGCCCCAGACACTCAGGAATCAGGCTCAGAACCCCGGTGTCCCGGGGGCCGTGACCTGAGTGGTGGGGACTATTGCCACTCTCCAGGACGCCTGGTCCACAGAAGGCAGGGGGCAGCAGACGAGATTCCAGGGCTGGGGGCCCCAGTGATGACTTACCCATTGTTTCCGGGCGTGATTCCTCCTCTTGAAGTACAAGATTAACTTTTTCCGCATCGCCTGGTTTCTAAGCAGGAAGGAGACAGCCAACAGGGCAGGTCAGAAAGGCAGGGTTTCAGGAATTTCGTCCCTTGCTGAGGTTTGCCCCATCACGGGTTCTCGGTGAGGGAAGAGACCCCATAGTACCCCAGGGCAAGCCACGTACTGCCAATGTGTATCTTTCCTCTACACTATACGAGGTGGCCCCCACCCACACTCTGGCTGAGCATGGTCTGCAAGAAAAGAGGGCTTCAAAGGGGGGACAAGGTCCTCTGACTTCCTGCCCTCCCCGGAGCTGCCATCACCCCTACACACACCCAAGCTCCCCTCTCTTGTCAGCCATGGGAAACCAGCCACAGAGAAAAAGCCACAGCCTTAGACCTGGAACGCAGACTGGGCAGACTAAGCCCCTGAAAGCTGCAGCCACATAGAGGCAGGATCTTGGGGTCTGGCTTTGGTGATCCCAAGCCACCTCCAACCAAGAAAGCCCCTGCCCTGCCCCCTTGGGGTGGGGGTGATGTGGACAGGCCAGCGACAGGCAGGTGGGAGCCATTAAGTGCAGCAGGAACTCCAGGAAACACTCGAGGGGTCTCACGCCTCAGGTCGGCGAAGCCAGACCCCTCCCGCCATAGGGGTTCTCAACCAAGGAGGCCACACACAGCACTGCTCAGAGGGCAGGGGGCACTCCAGGGGGTGGGAGGGATGCGGGCGGTTCAGAGAGAGAGAGAGAGGCAGAGAGAGAGACACCGAGACCCAGGATGAGGGAGAAAAGGAAGGCAGAAAGACAGACAGCGCCCCAGAGAGAAGCGAGGGGAGAGAGAGAGAAGTGGATAAGATCCCAAATGAGGACAGAGCCCCAGAGGGGAAGGAGCCTGGCAGAGAGAGAGAGACAGAGACAAGAGGGGAACAGGCCTCCAGGCAAAGGAGGACAAGATCCAAAGAAAGGGGGGGGGGGGCAGGGGAACGATGGATAAATAACAAGGACCTACTGTAGAGCACAGGGAACTGCGCTTAATATCCAATGATAAACCAGAAGGGGAAGAATATTAATATTCCTGCATGTAAAACAGCCAGTGGGAACTTGCTGTATGACTGACTCAGGGAGCTCAATGACAACCTAGTGTCCTGTGACAGCCTAGAGGGGTGGGACGGGGTGGGACGGGGTGGGAGGTGGAAGGGAGATTCAAGAGGGAGGGGACATATGTATACCGATGGCCGATTCATGTGGATGTGTGGCAGAAACCAATGAAATACTGTAAAGTCATTATGCTCCAATTAAGGATAAATAAAGGAATGGAAATGGTATATAGGAGGCAAAACTTTAAAAAGGAATATTAAAAGAATGTATATATTTGTGTATATATATATATTTGCTGTGCAGAAGAATTGTACAGTACAACACAACACTGTGAATCAACCATACCTCAATAATAAAATAAAAATGAAAGAAAGGGAGATGGAGCCCTAGAAGGAGGCAGAGGGAGAGTCAGAGATGCAGACCGACACAGAAAATGGGGAAAGACACACCCAAGGACCCACTTCCCCCAGCCCCGTCCTCACAACCTCCAATGCCCAGCAGCTGGGGTCTGCGGGGGTCACAGGGAGGCCATCAGGCCTGTGAACTTGCTTGCCCCCATCCGACTGTACAGTGGGATCAATTTTTCTGGGGCGGGGTCCTCAGCTGCACCCAAAACCCTTGCAAAAAGCTCACAAACCGACGGCTGGGAGCCATGCATGCAGGGGTCTACCAGCATGCCTTACCCCTGTCCGGATGAGTGTCCCCAGACCCTGCAGTGATATCCAGCATCCTCACTATCGGGTCTCAAGTCTGAGACGCTGACAGGCCTGCATGGACCCTCTTCATTTATGGACCCCAGCCAGGCTTAGAGCCCTGTCTCCACCCATCTCCCGACAAGGAAAGGCCACGCTCACTTCCAAGAGGGTTGCTGGTAAGAAACCCTGGGCTCCCTGGATCAATCTGATTTCACCTCCTGTCATGCAGGCCTCCCACCTCGAGGTCTCACTACTTAACATCAATCTTGCCCTCCCCAGCAGGGTGGGCACCAGGGGTCCTCGGCCACACAGGCTGAGACCAGAACTCCTCATTCCACAGCAGGGTATCTCTGAGCAAATCTCAGGTCTCTCAGCCTCAGTTTACTCATCTGAATAATAGGAGCAATGGCATCATGCTTTCATCTCCTCAGTCACTCAGCAAAAGTTCACCAAGCACCTACTATGCGCCGGGCACTGTTTTGGGCCCTGGGGACCCAGGGGTGAGCAACACAAAGCCTCGAGTCCTCATGGAGGCAGGCAACACATAGAGGGTCCATACTGACAATAAGCAATATAATCCTGGGGACTTCCCTGGTGGTCAAGCGGTTAAGAATCTGCCCGGCAATGCAGAGGACATGGGTTCGAGCCCTAGTCAGGGAACTAAGATCCCACATGCCCTGGAGCAACTAAGCCGGCACCTCACAACTAGAGAGTCTGTGTGTAGCAACCAAGATCTCGCGTGCCACAACTAAGACCCAATGCAGCCAAGTAAATAAATATTTAAAAGAATGATAACCTTAAATTCAGAAACGTACACAGAGGGATGAGTGAGGGGAGGGGAGGGGAGGGGAGGGGAGGGCATAGCTATTTTAGAATCAGGGTGCAGAAAAGTGTCTCAGAGTTGGCCTGGACATTTCAATCACCAGAAGGGCCCAGCTGTGGAACGACCCCCAGGGAGAAGCACTCCAGGCAGAGCACATGGGTGTGCAAAGGCCCTGAGGTGGGAACAAACTCAAGTGCTTGCAGAGCAGACAGAAGAAGATCCTTGTGGCTGCAGAGTGTTGAGGAGCGCCAGAGGGGAGGAGAGCAACAAGGTGAGCAGGGCCCACGGTGCAAGGCCTCGTGGGTTGGAACACAGGAGAGGCTTTGGACCTAAAGGCAGCAGCTGAGAAGGCCAAGAAGCCACGACAGCCCAGAGCAATGAGCCCACCAGCTCTTAGGTCTTGGTCTCTAACACCATTCTCCAGTAAAAGGAGCCATTTCTCAGGACTTCTCTGGCAGTCTAATGGTTAAGACTCGGTGCTTCCACTGCAGGGGGCACTGGTTCGATCCCTGGTCAGAGAACTAGGATCCTGCATGCAAAGGGACATGGCCAAATTAAAAAAAAAAAAAAAAAATAGAGCCACTTCTCCCTGGAGGAATGACTGAGTTCAGTGCTGGGGCAGGAAAGATACAAGATGAGCCCAGAACATCTTTAAGTAGAGAAGTGTTAAAAAGGAAAGGGAAAAAAAAAAAGCTGGATGGGGGCAGGGGGGGTCAAAAGTACACAGGACCCAACCTAAAAGAGTTTCTGAGGCCAAAGCTGGAACAGTCTGAGAAGCAAAGTAAATAACACCAGTGCTAGATTATAACCCGAAGAATAAAATAAATATCCACACATCTACACAGATGTAAATAAATGATAGAATAAATAAACAAAGGGGAGAGAAGGGACACATGTTCTTTGTGTGTGTGCATGCGTGCTCAGTCAAGTCCAACTCTTTGCGACCCCAGGGACTGTAGCCCGCCAGACTCCTCTGTCCGTGGGGTTTCCCAGGCAAGGATTCTGGAGTGGGTTGCCACTTCCTTCTCCAGGGGATCTTCTTGATGCAGAGATCAAAGCCTGTGTCTCCTGCACTGCAGGAGGCTTCTTTGCCACTGAGCCACCTGGGAAGCCTTACAGAATTTCAATTAACTAAACCCAGAAGGACTAAGGGAAGCAGAAGATCACTATTAGATACCACGGTGCTAATTGTTACAGGCAAGACCCTTCCGTGAATGTTAAACTGGTTGGCAAAACGTTGAGGAAAGATGAGAAATTTGCATAGCTGCAAAGCATTTTCCCCAAATATTTACTAAGCATCGTGGCAGCTTTCACTTGAGTCCACAACATCTTTGATATTCGCCCTTTAGGAGGTGCAGCTGGTCTCCCCTCCCCTTGACAGTAGGCTGGACAGGGACTTGCTTCTAAAGCACAGAGTGGGGACTTCCCTGGTGGTCCAGAGTGATGGCTAAGACTTCACCTTCCAATGCAGGGGACACAAGTTTGATCTCTGGTCAGGAAACTAACATCCCACATGCCGCCTGGCCAAAAAAACCAAAATGTAAAAACAGAAACAGTATTGTAACAAATTCAATAAAGACTTTAAAAATGGCCCACATCCAAAAAAATAAAAATAAAAAATAATGCACAGAGTAGGGATGGGAAAGACAACAGCTTGACAGTGGAGACACAGCTGACACTTCCCTGAGCAAGGGAGCAAAGTCAACACCACCTGTAGTGACATAAACACCCCCAGTCAGGGTGTTGGGTGCTCCTGATATATCATGATGGGAAGGGCACCCCCTCACCTCAGGGGAACTCTTCCCCCAAATCCACAAGCCAGCCTCCTCCTGAGAAAATATCAAACACACCCAAATCATAGGACATTCTACAGATTCCATGAGCAGTCCTCTTCAAAAGTGACAAGGTAAGGAAAATCAAGGAAGACTGAGAAATGGTCACAGAGCAAAGACCAAGGGGTCACGAGGATGAAGTACAGAGGATTCTGGATCAGATCTTGGACCAGAAAACAAGCATCAGTGGGAAAACGGAAAATCCAAAGAAAGTCTGTGCAGTGGTCCCCAACCTTTTGGGCACCACAGACAGGTTTCATGCAAGACAATTTTTCCATTATGGATTGGGAGGTGGTTTGGGGATGAAAAGACACAGGAAGAGGGCCATGCGAAGATAGGGTTGGAGTGAAGCGTCTACAGGCTAAGGATCACCAAGGATGCTTAGTAAACACCAGAAGCGAGAAAATGCATGGAAGGATCCTCCCCGCAGCACCTGCAAGAGATCACCCTGCCAATCCCTGGATTTCCAACTTCCGGCTTCCAGAACCACGAGGCAATGAATCACTATAGTTTCCAGGCAGCCTGGTTGTTGTGACGAGTTCTGGCAGCCTGAGGAAACTCACACAGCCTGGAACAGTCTACCCCAAACACAGTGCTGTA